TCACTCTTACTAAGTCTGGGACCTTAATCAAGTCACAGTCTCTCCTCCATGAAATGGACATTTAAGTCTCCAATGGAATCTGTGAGCTATAAGGCACTTTCAGGCACTAAGTATTCGTTTCTTTGCTTTCTTTCTACCTCAAAGTAGAAGCCAAATTACAAGAAGTGTAAGTGTTTCTAGTGGAGGAGGTGAGGCCACACATCAGATATCTCCTCTCCTAGGCATGTAAAGGCTGGCCTCCATTTTATGAAATAATACAACAGCTGTGACAGAAGGGAAAGGAAGTAAGGTTGGGGTCACCAAACAGTTTAAAGTTTTGTAAGTGTTGGTACTCAGCTAATAAGCAAGAAATTAAAATGTGAAGAGCTAGGAAATAGGCGTAGGACAAGACCACTGTCGGTGCAACTGTTACAGCGAGAAGCAATGTTTTCCTCTCATGAAAATAGAATAAAATGTCCTATTAGGTTAAGGATAATGTAGGGAATCTAGCAGTTAGATAAAATCATGGAAATTGACTTCAAATCATGGTCCCACCGCCTACTGTGGATGTGTGATCTTGGGCACTTTCCTCAATGCTCTAAGCTCAGTTTCCCTTGTGCTTCACGGGCTGTTCCAAAACATCCCCTGAAATAAGGTGCAGGATTTAAGATACTTAGCACAGTGCCTGGAACGTCCATGGTTGTTGTTATTACACATAGTCGCTCTGACTTTTATATGTAACTTCTATTAGTCATTATTTTATTTTGATCCCATACTTAATTTCAAATATCAGTTCTACATGAGTAAAGAAATGATTTTCAGATTGTACGGGATGTTTTCTAAATACATAGTTTCTCTTCTACAGTATAAGTGAAGAAGTAAGTTACACACATACTCAATTCAGTCATCCAGACCTCAAGAGAGCCTAAGATAAAACCCACGTGCCCTCACAGAGCCTAGGAACAGCCTGGGAATGGCACCCTGGGAATAGGCTGGACCCCTGTTAGGCAACTTCTGTCAGCGCTCCATGAATGTTAGCTACATAATGCATCATTCTTTGCCTGGCCTTTAACTCTGTAACAAAAACAAGACCCTGGTTACCTGGCTGCCTTTCCAGGGTGTCATCATCAGTGTGGTTTTAACCAAGAACGTCACTCAAACGATTGCAAACAACTAGCTCACCACCTCGGTTTTCTTTTCTTCCCTTTGTTTGAATGTGCCACTTTGACCACGAGATGGTAAATGTTTTTATTGGATTGCCAAGGTTTTAGAACACAAATCTCTTCAATAGCTGCAACACACCATGACTCCAGTGCAACTCACTTCCATCATTTATGTAAAAACTCTTTGTATTTGTAAAAGAAAACCAACAGTAACTAGAAGAATAAAACAGAAATATTTACAGCAAAATTATTAATAAACTGAAGACTGCATGTAGGAACCAGATCACTACTTTAACACTTATTTGAACCCTTCCCTTTGGGGTTCTTAAACAGATTAAAATAGAAGGTTTTTCTTCTTTAGGAAGTTCTTCAAAGACATCTACTCTGTACAACTAATTCTGTGTCAGCAACATCCTGTTTATGGAAGCTCACCGTGTGAGATTATAGTTCTTCCATCATTTATCTGAATACCAGTTTCTCTCACATGCACGCTATTTTCCAAGCTCATAGGACTTTTCAGATATAATCAATAAAATGAAGTGTGAGGATGGGAAATATCCAATTTTATCATTACATCAAGGTGGCCTCCAAAAATAATCTGCACCCTTACACTGGGCACGTCAAGAACAACCAGCCCAGAGGTGCCCCTGCTCATCCAAATGGCCGCACCAAACGGCTGTTTATTAAAGGTCCTGAGTTCCCTCACTGCACCAGCTGAAAAACTTCTTCCCTCCAAGCTCCGGAGGTTCTCCAAGTAATTTTTGTGTTTGATGGGCTGTTTTCTGGGAAAGTGCTTGACATTCTTCCTCTACCACAGTCAGCACGCTCCAGACCTTTCCCAGCCCCCCACCCCCCCAGACAGTCCCAGCGGGGTGGGGTTGGGGAAGTGCATACCACAGTCAGCACGCTCCAGACCTTTCCCAGCTCCCCGACAGTCCCAGGCCTTGAGGGGTGGGCTTGGGGAGGTGCTGAGCAACAAAAGCCCTGAAGGGGTAGGTGTTGCTGAGTTCTGGACTGGCTCTGCTCTCAGTGGCCATAGGACCTTGTAAAAGTCATACTTTTAAGCCTCAGCTTTCTCATCTGTGAACATAAGGGATTTCTTCTCAATGACCTCTATGGTACCTCCCAGCTTCCAGGTTCTGGTTCTAGTGGTTCCATACTCAGATTCTTTACAGCAGTGGTTCTCAACCTTCCTAATACCATGACCCTTTAATACGGTTCCTCATGTTGTGGTGACCCCCAACCATAAAATTATTTTCGTTGCTACTTCATAACTGTAATTTTGCTACTGTTATGAATCGTAATGTAAATATCTGATATGCAGGATGTATTTTCATTGTTACAAATTGAACATAATTAATGCATAAGGATTAATCACAAAAACAATATGTAATTATATATGTGTTTTCCGATGGTCTTAGGCAAGCCCTGTGAAAGGGTCGTTCGACCCCCAAAGGGGTCGCAACCCACAGGTTGAGAACCGCTGCTTTACAGAGTGACCCCCAAGGGCGATGGGGAGCATGCAGCTCATGATGGGGTTGAATGAAAAGTCACCTGGCACATAATATGCAGCCCCTTCTTGTAGTTCTCTCTTAATTCTGCGGTCTTAGGCGACCCCTGTGAAAGGGTTATTCGACCCCCAAAGGGGTCGCAACCCACAGGTTGAGAGCCGCTGCTTTACAGAGTGACCCCAAGGGCGGATGGGGAGCATGCAGCTCATGATAGGGTTGGGGGAAATGAAAAGTCACCTGGCACATAAGGGAATATGCAGCCCCTTCTTGAGTTCTTCTCTCTTAATTCTGAGTCTGATAAACTGCTCTTTATATCTCTTCAACAAAGATATTCTAAGTTGCTCCTACTTGACTTCTTCAGTTTTAGCATAATTTTAACTTGTTTACATGGTAATTGACTTTGCTTTTTAAAGAACCCAAATCTGGTTCAGAATATGTCAAATAAATTCTGGTTCATACTACATACAAGTTCATTTTTAAGTGCATATTCCTTCATAGTGATAACAAACACTGTCATGTTAAATATGTCAAGGAGGTAAAACCATTGATTCTGATGATGAGAAAGATCTGATAGCTCTAGTCACTCAAGCCCTTACATTAATGACACACTCTCCCTCTCAGCTTCTGGATATAGAGTTTTTACAGAAGAA